GCCCCGCGGCCCGCCCGACCCTCCCACTTAGGGGGGCTCTGAGGACCGCCCCTCGGTCCCTGCTGCTTGTAGCCCGGCACCCCCACAGGATTCCTCTGAGACCCCCAGACTGGGACCGCCCCGACGTCCTAGATCCTGCCCGGGCCTCCGCTCTGGGGGCCGCGGACCTGAGCCCGGCTGCTGAAGCTCAGGCACAGGCCCTTTGAAGTCGCTTCTGTGGGGCGGTGCCCAGGCCTGGGGAGGGGTGGTGGGGAACAGCCCAGATGGGGGATGGGGCAGCTCCTAGCTCAGAAAACTCCTCTAGGACCTGGCAGGCAAACCTGCGGCCCCACCCCTTGCCAAGCAGTTCCCTGAACTGCTCGCACAGATGGAAAGCTCTGGGACGGGAGCTCGAGCTCCCCAGCCTAGGGACACAGACCCAGTGTGATCACAGGCAGTGCCAAGTAAGGGGGTGGGAACAGAAAGGTGCTCAGCTGGGAGGCCAGGAAGACTGCCTGGAAGAGGTGATCCCTGACTAGAGTCTAGAAGCGAAGTGTTTTGTCCTGTGTCATTGCCTCCCCAGGGTACTTGGGCTTTTTCTCTGCTGCCTTCTCCCAGGCCATCTCCCAGTCTGCAAAGCCCAGTCCCATTCCCATTGCAAGGAGCTTTGTTTGCCCAGGCTTCCTGGAAAAGGAGCTGTTAGGGATAGTGGCTGTGCCATGGAGGTGAGTGAAGCCCCCCAGTGGAGTGGAATTTCAGTAGCCCTTTATCTGGTACTGTTCCCGCTTTCCTGTCCACTCTCAGCCATTGTCCCCAGTGGATGTCCTTGAACAGTCTTTGCAGGTGCCTTGTTTTGCCCCGGCCCCACCTACCACCCTCCAGCTCTCCTCTCCTATCTATCCACATCATGGTTTCACTGTTTGCTTCTCTAGACCTTGAGGAGCTGACATTCTTAACAGTCCTGTGTATTATCTTGGGCAAGTTCTGGTGAGGGCACTGCCCTCAGGAGGCTCAGAGGCTGAGGGGGGATCTCTGTCCATGGGGTCTCTACTAGTCCCAAGGTGGGGGCATCTTAAGCAACACATATCTGCTGGTCCAAGGAAGGGAGATGTCTTCTTGGGGGACATATGGTTGCCTCTCTCAGAGGGACTTGTATGAATGGCCACACGAGGGTTTAACTGTCTCTTACTTCCAATCAGTGAAATTGACCTTCAGAGGTGGGTGCTGCTATTTAGCTGGCAGAGAGAGGTGAAGGGTGTGTGTCTGGTGATGTGTCTGGAGGTGGACGGGGGTGTCCAGCCTCTAGGCTTTCTACACTGGAGGTCAGGGAGGTTTCTGCTCAACTCTGTGGACACTGTGGGCCCAACACAGACAATGAGGAAAGGACCTTGGAGAATTGCTCTGGATGGTCTTAGGTCAGAAGCTCCCCAGGACTTAGACCCTATTGAGTGATATAAAGAGTGGGGTAACTGTCACCTTCACTGGCTGTCCAAGGGTTAGGTACCCAGCTTGACGTGTGGTCAGAGACACCTCATCTGACTCCCAGAACCAGTGAATGAAAGGGGTGCACAGCTTTGCTGGGGGAAGGGGAGCCTAAGGAGTCTGGAAGTTCTAGCCCCGGCCATCTCATAGTGGGTTGCTAAAGTTCCTCCTCAGACATTGTGTCCTTCCCCCAACTTAGCCAAACCTTCTCCATCCTGACATGCCCTCATTGTCTCCCTATTTACTTTTGTTTGGGGGAGCATCTCTCCTCCTTCCAGAAGCAAATCTCCTCAATATGACTTTCCTAGCCCTCCAGCCCCTGGGCAGTGTACCTGTCTCTGAAAGCTTCTCTCTCGGGACTGATATGAGGGTGGGGTGGGGAGTGACTCTTCTCGGATCTGGTACATCAGCTTTTGTATTTCATTGCACAGTTTTGGGGCAGTTTGAAGAGATGTGGGATGTATGGGGTTCATGTCCATCTTCCCCACAGTGGGCCCTTGATGATATACGTGACCTCAGAGGACATCAGTGTATGACAGCGCCTCCCACAGGACACAGGCCTGAGCTGCCCTATGCCCCCTGGAAGCTGTGGGCTCACTTCTGAGGTGCCCTGGATAGGACAAGCTGCTTTTATCCCATCCCCAATACTTCCACGAAACTCTCAGAATTTCTTTTTCCTGGGGCCTTCCTGCGGTACTGAATCCCTCTCATGCTGGGGTACTAAGTTACAGGGCAGGTCTAGGGTCTGGTTACCGTCCTCAAGATGGGGATAGTGGTGGCCTCACCGTGCCTCAGCTTATTCACTGCAGATCCCACCAGGCATCTGTGCCTCTGTCAACAGCCAGACTGCTCACTCTGGGCACTCTTCACCATGCAACAAGTATGTATTGCGTGCTTTCCATATGCCTAGGCCTAGCCCTGTGGTCTGTCCAGGCTGAGACATCCTTGGGAGCAGGGACTGTGCCTATCTCATTTCCCAACACCCAGCAGAGAGCCTGGCACACAGAAGGTGTTCGAAAACATTTGCCATTAACAATGTTATCACTGCTATTGGAATTATTATGTTAGCTTACCCTTCTGCCACCGCCCAGAGAGAGGAGGGAAAGTTGAAAGGAGAGGGCCTAGGAGGGTGAAGACCTCTGCTCTGCTGCCTTTGGGAGAGCCCCACATAGCTCAGGGCACTATGCCCAAGGCACTCTACTCTGTGAGTGATTGGATCTGTCCAAGGTCAGAAGAGACCACAGTGCTTTTTGCTCAATGGGCTCCTAGCATCCAGCAAGAGCTGATGCCCTTGGGAGATGCCCTTGGGACTGAGTTTAGGGGGAGGAGTGGGAAGGAGACCAGAACAATCTCAGACTGAGGGTGAGGCCAACCCAGGGAACCTCCCAGAAGCGGAAGCAGCCAGGGTGGAGAGAAGCTGAGGGAGCAGTCCTTGAAGATACCTTCCAGACAGCTGATAGGGGCTTGGTCTGCCGGGGCCCAGTGGCATCTACCCCATTCAGACTGGCTCCTTAGAGCCAATACATCCCTCCTTAAAGGCACAGCTCCTTCCTCTCTCCCCTGCCAGTAGCCTGAATGTCAAGGAATTTGAATTTTTCATGGGTCAAACCTTCTTGAGGTGCCTCGTCCATGGTGCTGGTTACCCCATGGACCCTGGAGAACAGCTGAAGAACTTAAACAGCCCATTTTTTTAATGGCCTCTTACCAGGTCCTTTGGTGTCTGATCATCTGGGGTCTGATCTAGAGGCCTGAGGGTCAAACTAGCTGCCTGTGAGTCTGTAGGATGGAGAAATCAACGCTCTGTGGCAGCCAAGGCTGTGTAGGGAACAGACTCCTGCAGACCTAAGACCTGGTCCTATAGTGATAGGGGGCCAAGATGGGCCTTGAGCTGGTTTCAGGGGCTCTGAAAGGGATAGACACATCCAGGGACAGGATTCAGGAGGGTGTTTGTGGGGCATGGTGTGGTAACACATTTGTAGAAGTGTGAACCCATACCCCTAAAACATACACAATGTTATAATCCAATATTACCTCAATAAGAACCTTTAAAAACAAACCAACGCCTAAGAAGGTTTAGGTGTATCCTTGAATGACGGGATTGGGATTCAGTCAAAGAGACAACAAAACTGGCCCTGAGCTGTGTCGGATGCTGCATTGCACAGAGGAGAGGGCATGCTTGTGACTAAGGGACTTTCCCAGCTCCAGTTCTGGGCCACTCAGCACCTCAACAAACATTGATGTCCGCTGTGTGTCTAACACAGCACTGGATCAAGTAGACTTACTTGGAGGTGTGGTGGGGACTCCCCAAGCTACCACACCTCCTCCGGGTGTGGAGACGCTAAAGGATCTAGAAGGAACCAGTCTCTGAGGCTCCATAACAGAGACAAAGCTGATTCAGAAAATTGGAGCCTAGTTGCTGGCCCTGAACTAGCAGAAACAAAAGCAGAACCAATTCTTTTCCCCAAGTGGCCTTGGGGAGGGCGTGTGACCACTCCAAGCGCATGTCGTTTCTATACAGTATATCTGGGCCTAGACCCTGCGTTAGTGTTTCGGTGCGTCTCAGCCATACCAGCCGTCCCAGCTGCACCCCTGCCAGACCTGCTTTGTCTGTGTTTTCACAGAGATAACCCAATTGCTCTGGGCCCCGACAAAGGGGCTGCCAGGCAGCAGGGCGGGGCCAGGTTTACCCAGCTGTGGCAGGAAGGCCCTGGCCCTGAGGCCTGGGAGTGGAGGGTATTGGGAGGACTGGCATCACACCAAAGAGGGGAGGTAGCAGGCAGGTGAGAGAACCAGAGCAGCCCAGCCCAGCCCAAGCAGGGAAGTGACAGAACAGGCTGCCAGTGTGGCAGTGGGGCCCATGTGTTGTGCAACTAGGGCCTCGGGAAGGCAGCCTGCAAAGGCACCGCGGCCTCACCCTTGCCTGGGTTCCTCCTACTCTCACCCCTTCCTACCCCTATCTCCACCCCTCTCTTCTCCCTCTGGCCAAGAGATGCAGGCAACCTGCCCCGGATTTCCCAGCCTCCTCCAGCTGTAAACGTCTCTTTCCTACCTGTATCCCCCAACAGAAGCCCAACCCAGAGGTTCTAGGGTTCCAGCTTTCCCTGATAATGGGAGGGCTTATCACCCCTTCGTGCTGTTCCCTGTGCGAAGCGGTCTCCTTCCCAAACCAGGGAAGAAGCTGGCATCCTTCGCTGAGACCCAGGCAGGGGTGCAAGATCTGTCCCTTCTCAGCCTGGGGAAACAGATGTGGCTGTCAGAGGCAGCCATGTCTCTGCCAAAGGCACTGGAAGGACAGAGAAAGCCAGGTTGGGGTGCAGCACAGGAATCAGGCTCCCGGGGCTCCTTAGACAAACACGGGCACTCGCCACTCCTCTGCCAGCTCACAGCCTGGACTCCTGGCACCCTCAGC